TGGCGAAATGATACGCATCACGATACGAGGGGGAACAATATGACGTACTGAAACATGGCCCTGTCAAGTGAGTTGCCAGATTATTGCCACCACACACCCCTAGTGTTAACTCCTGATGGAAACAGGCTCCAGTAATGAACAGCTGCAGCGACACCTACTGGTGACAGGCCTTGTATTTTACTGTCACAGTTCAGGAGAATCCTGAGCCAAAACACCATGAGACATGGATCATGACAGGAATCGTCCAACTGTAGACCGACTGTAGTCCGACTGTAGACAGACTGTAGACCGACTGTAGTCCGACTGTAGTCCGACTGTAGTCCGACTGTAGACAGACTGTAGACCGACTGTAGTCCGACTGTAGTCCGACTGTAATCTGACGGTGTGGGTGAGGATCTCAGTGCTACAGTTTTCTCCTAGCTTCTCTGGTGAGAACAGCAGGGGGGTCAGGGGTCATTAGTCAAGGCTGTGGTCAACAGTAGCTGTTAATTGATCCATGAAAGTTGGTCATTCTTGTTACCTCCTCCTTGGAGCTGTGCATGTGTGTGTGTGTGTGTGTGTGTGTGTGTGTGTGTATCCAAGCAGGCCTGTGGAATGACAAAGCACTACAGGATGTCTTTAGCGAGTCAGCATTGACTCCTCCCATCTCCTTTTATGGCTCAGAGGGGGAGGGGTTTAAGAGCCCCTGAAGCTGCTGCTGCTGCTGCTGGACCTGGTGTGTGTGTGTGTGTGTGTGTGTGTACTCATGCATGACCAAGGAAGATTGGGAGAGAGTGTTGTTGTGTGTGTGTGTGTGTGTGTGTGTGTGTGTGTTTGCGTTAGCATCAAGGTGAGGAAACTGCTGCTTTACTGCAGGCTTAGCATAAGAAAACAGTCACTGCTGTTTGGATTTACATGAATTAACATGATGCTGCTGCTGCTGCTGATGCTGATGCTGCTGATGCACTCCCATTACTGTAGGTGACGTCAGCTGATAATTCAGGGCAGCCTGACAGTTGAGGGACAGCTGTGTTAGCGTTTAAATGAAGTCAGTGGTCGATGAAAATGAAGATGAAAAATGTGAAACATCAACCATGTAAAACTGGTTAAGAAGAAAAAAGGACAGAAAGGTGAATATGTGTGTGTGTGTGTGTGTGTGTGTTAGTACACACTTGTTGCCCAAACACTGGGCTGCGACCCAGAGACGGATCGTAGGGTTTTCCCTTAAGTGAATCTTGAAATCAAAAACATTGATTGATTAAACGTTGATTTTGTTTGTTTTGTAATTATTATTGACGACAGTGAGTCTGAAAATGTCATTAAATCTTTAAAAAAGACAGAGAATTATTTTAATAAATCAGTTCCGTGTTAATGGTGTAAAGTCTTTACTGAGTTTAAACTAAAGTCTTTGTCTAAATTTACAACAGTTTTTTACTGGGATGACTGCCCCCCCCCTTCCCCCACCGTCCCTCTTCTTCTCCACATGGTCAGGTCAAAGGTCAGTAGAGCAGCCTCACAGCCACATGTATTGTGTGTCGGGATGTTCGAACAAACAAAGGCAAAAATGACGCTGACTGTTTTCGTAGACGCACGTCGTGTTGTTTCAAAACAGAGGCGGGAATTGAACCCCTGTCACAACAGAAGCCCACTGCTCCACTGCACACCTGGAGCGTGTGAGGACCAGAAATAGCCTGAGCTGTACATTGTGACAGTAAGACTGTGCAGAGGGAGGATGTTTACCTCACCGCGGTCTGGGCCATAAATGACA